CTCCCTCCTTTCCTCCCTCCCTTTCTCCCTCCCTCGTCCCTCCATCCCTCCCTCCTTTCCCGTCCCCGCACATACGACCGCGCCCCACGCCCAACTCTCATTCCTACCGTCCAACATACTGCTCGTGTCCTGCCGTCCCGACCTTTAATGGCCCAGGGGTCGTCCCACGCACAATCAATTCAAAGGCTGGCGCGGTAAACATCATCGACGATTACGATTAATCCTCTTTCCCAAAATTGTCCCCGGGCTCAGAGGTATAGAGGGTTGACAGATACACGCTACACTCCTACAATATAATTCAGTCGCATCGTTCTTTGTAGTGCTTCTGTAATAGTGCTTAATACACAGAAATTTGCCGTAAAGTCATTCTCGCATGGCATGTGCTGCAGAACCTGCAAAATCTTTTGTACTTTTGGAGGAGGGGCAGGGGAATGTCAGGCAAACGTTGGAACAGTGCACTGTCAATCTAGGGTGTCCGACCTAAGTCAGTTACAGTGTACTTCCCTGCCCCCTCCTTGGTCGCCTTTATAGCTCAATCTTTCTCTTTTCCATACCTACCTACCATCTTCGCCCCCGCCCCCTCCTCCTCGTGGAGGACGCCGCTCCCGCGACGCTCCCGTCACCGCCCACCACGTCGCAATCCCTGAGCCCACTTCTCGGGCCCGTGTTCAACGATGCGGATTTGCCGCGCCCCTGCCCTACCCTGCCCTCCTCTGCCAGCCACTCTGCTCTCCGGCTGTCCCGAACCCGACTGCTCTGCTGCTCCCCGCGACTGAACTGGTCTGTTTCGCAGTTCTAGGACCGCGTCATGAGAGCGAGAAAGGGATTTCCGAAAGTCGAATCGACTGGGCTGCTGCTGGCGTTGGCCGCGTTACGCCCACCGCGGGATCGCCTGGCCTCGCCCGCCATCGAGAAGTGCACAGGGCTTCCCTCTAACCCGTCTTACACGGGAACGTCTTTCGCTGCTACACACCAATTTCGCTGGGAGCGATACATTGCTGAAGACGTACAGGGTGGGCCACCATAGACCCCTTCTTTTATTTTGCTTATACAGGGTGGTCCACAGACCCCTTCCTTTATTTTGCTTATACTGTACCGCAGACAGGCGTGCGAACAGGTTGCATACTCGCATGAAGCCATAAAGCGCCGCGGTGAGCGACGGTAGGCAAGCCCGCCCGCACGCCGGCATGCGGTACAGTATATGCAAAAGAAAAGAAGGGGTCTATGGACCACCCTATGTACCGCATGTGGGCGTGCGGGCGGGCTTGCCCTATACCGTCGCTCACCACGGCGCATTAAGGCCCGTGTGAGTATGCAACCCACCCGCACGACTGCATGCTGTACAGCATAACTTGAGGATAGCATTAATTTTTGGTCCTTTTACGGAGTTTCCTTTCTAAAAATTGCCCAAAACAAAAGAATAACATAGAATGGACAGCTAAAGCCAGTACCAATCCTAGTCTACGTATGTCCTCTGCAATATTAATTGCTCCTAGCGAAATTGGTGCGTGTAACACCGAAAGACGTTCCCTCGTTAGCCCCCTCCAAACTCCCTCCAGAACTCTCAACCCACATCCCCTTGTCACTTCTTCTCTCTAAGTCGACGCTGCTTCTCCTGGCCACGCTCGCTTTGACGTCGAGGAGTGGTCGTCGAGCGCCACCGTCACCGCACCGCCGTCTCCCGCTTTCCTGGAGGCGGGAAGCGCTTCTTTGCTGTCCTCGGCGAACGGGTCGGGAAGTTTAGTCTAATAAAGGGAAGTAGTCACTAAGAAACACACAGAGAGAGAGAGGCTTTTCTCCGAGTCTCTGAGCTGTATCGCCCCTCTTTCCCTTTAGCCTCTCTCACCTGAACCTCGACCTCAACCTTGTCTCTAAAACTAACTTACTTAATGCCACCAACTTCGGCTCTAAGGCCACTGTAATTGCGACGTTTAGTTCTGCCTGGTCGGCGCCAGAGCCCGACTGCAACTCGAGCGGCCGCTTTGCGTTAGGTGAGCAAAGAAGGGGGGGGAACTCGAGAGAGACAGAGCGGAGATCGGGAGAGGAAAGCAAAAAAGGGGAGAAATGGGGGAGGGAGGGGGTAGGTGTAAGCAGCTCTCATGCTCGGTAGCAGCTCCCGGTGGTTAGGCAACCCATCAGTCTCTACCTCCGGCACCACCAAGCGTAAGTCAGGCTGCTGTTGCGGTGGGAAACTGGCTGCCTGGCCCCGGCCCCGGCCCGCCCGCGAGCCGCTGCCAAAATGGGTCCATATTTATCACAACAAGGCGGCGGTGATCGGGGAGTGGGGGAGGGGGGTCATTATTCTGCCCACCCGCTACACTTCGACTGCTTTTGTATAAGCCGTTCAAATAGCAGTCGTGGCGTCGCCGCCCCCTCACTTCTCAGTCACAGGAATGTTCGACGCTGGCTGCTATGGTGGCACCGCGACGGCGGGGCGACGGCGCGGGGTGGGTTTCAGCACCGTGCTCTCCCCTTTGGAGAAGTTAGGCAAGCGAGAGGCCTTTGGGCGGTAGTATAGAGTGTGTCGGAGAACACGTCTAGTGCGTCTAGTGTTGCGGGTCTGCGTACTCTCTCGGTCCACGGGGGGCCGTGGCATGGCGTGGCGCTTCACAGAGAGTAGTGAGCGGGTAGGGAGAGAAGGTGGGCCATGCCGTGCACCTGGGTGGGTGGGAGACTGCTAAGTGAGACAGAGAGAGAGACAGAGAGAGAGAGACAGAGAGAAATGAGGGGAGGGGTGAAGAGGGAAAGAGAACAAAATTTAAACCTCCACTCATAATACCGATTTAACCCACACTCTGCTTTCAGGGCTGGAATGACGTCAGCTTCCACGGCTCCGACCAGATCCCGACTCCCAACATCGACGCGCTCGCCTACAACGGCATCGTGCTCAACAACTACTACACGCAGCCCATGTGCACGCCGTCCCGGGCGGCGCTGCTGACTGGGCTGCACCCCGTGCACACGGGCATGCAGCACGGCGTCATCCTGGAGCCCGAGCCGTGGGGCCTGCCGCTGGACGTGCCCGTGCTGCCCCAGTACCTGCGGGGGCTGGGCTACCGCGCGCACGCCGTCGGCAAGTGGCACCTCGGCTACTTCCGGGCCAACTACACGCCCACCGCCCGCGGCTTCCACTCGCACTACGGCCTGTGGAACGGCTACCACGACTACTACACGCATCACGCGCAGGCGTCCGTGAGTATCAGGGAGCACCGTGCGAGTTTTAGGGCTCCTCGGGCCCATGCGACCCCCCTGTCCTGTGCACCTTACTCGTAGCCGTTGTGGCGCTGCGACTGGCGTTGACATTGCTTCATCTCACGCTTTCGCAGTTCATCGACATGGACGGCTTCGACATGCGTCGGGGCATGGAGGTGGACTGGGCGTCGCGCGGCCGCTACTCCACGGACCTGTTCACCGAGGAGGCCGAGCGGATCGTGCGCAGCCACCCCGTCGGCGACGGGGCGCCGCCCCTCTTCCTGTACCTGGCGCACCTCGCCCCGCACTCGGGCAACTACGAGGCGCCGCTGCAGGCACCCGTCGAGACCATCAAGGCCCTGGCGCACATCAAGGACCCCGAGCGGAGGGTGTACGCAGGTACGTGATCCAGTGATTCGGTACGGGGTAGTGGCAATGAAGCTCCGGCTAACGAGATTGGTTTGTTGGTCCCTTTCATAGCCATGGTGTCCCGGCTGGACGACTCGGTGGGCCGCGTGGTGCAAGCCCTCCAGGAGAAGGGCATGCTCTCCAACTCGGTCATCGTTTTTGCGTCGGACAACGGCGCCATCACCTCGGGCATCCACCCGAACAAGGGTTCCAACTGGCCCCTGAAGGGGGTAAGCAAATACACGCAGCCCGGCTGCTTTGCCACACTGTAAACACTGTCATCAGTTTTGACGAAAGCCACCGGTTTTTGCAGTACAACAAACAGTTTTATTTTTGTGTGTGTCGAATTACTTTAAAACATCGTCTCTCTGCAGGTGAAAGGCGGGCCCTGGGACGGCGCGGTCAGGGTGCCGGCCTGCGTGTGGTCGCCGCTGCTCCGACGCCCACGCCGCACCTCCCAGCAACTCATGCACGTCACCGACTGGCTGCCCACCCTGTTGGCCGCCGCAGGTATGTGCGTGTGTGTTGCAGAGGCTGAGTGGCAGGCACAGAGAGAGGCGGGGGAGGATGGAGATAACCAGTACGAGAGTGTGTGTATGCTGGTCCCACCACAGCTAGCAGCCCCTCAGCCCCTGCATAGCGGAGGCTAGGCCACCAACTCAACATGCACGTACTGCATTGCATACCCAATAGGGCGTTTCAACTCACAGTGTCATCATCCTGTCTTTTCTTCAAGCCCGACAACAACTTGCTTACTTCCTTTTTCCCGGTTCGATTTGAAAGAAGCTCCCTCTTTCATTTTGGAGGAAACATCACTGCTAATGTATACTGAATAGACGAAAGGCATCCCCTTATGGCCTCGCATATATTTTGTTCTTCTAATCCAAAAAAAGTCCTTGTTGTTTGTCGTCTGTTCCGTCCGTTCCGGTCCGCCCTCTTTCCTTGCGTTGCTCCCTCCCGATGACGCTCTCTCGCCCGTCGGCAGGTGCGGCCCCGGCTCCCGACCGGGTGCTCGACGGCGTCAACCTGTGGGAGTCGCTGTCTCTAGGACGCGCCGAGGGGACGAGCTCCCCGAGGCAGGAGGTGCTCGTCAACATCGACTACCGGGGCTCGGGCGCGGGCGGGTACGCCGCGCTCCGCCTGGGCGACTACAAGTACGTCAACGGCACGGCGCTGCTGGGCTACCAGGACACGTGGCTCGGCGAGTCGGGCAGAGAGGAGCCCGCACCAGGTAAGCGACGACGCAGCGAGGGGAGGTCGCCATGGGGCACTTCACTTACAAGAAAAATCAAAAAATCTGAAAACAAAAATTAGCGTTTGCTTAAATGTGCCAGGAGGCTGGTTCACGCCGCGCACTCTCGTAGTTATACAGTACCGCATGCACCCGTGCGGGTTGGTTTACCTATGCTGGCTGCCCACGGCTCCTTATGGCCCCGTCTCGGTAGGCCACCTGCCCGCACGAGTGCATGCGGTACAGTATAACTACGAAGGTGCGCGGCGTGAATCGGCCACCTGGTATAGTGAAGCACTCCGTGGAGACCGCATCGCCGCCGGGCGAGCGCTCGGTTGGTTGCGACTATCCTGACCCTCTTTCCTCTTGCTCCAGGAGTCGCGGCCGTGCCCCGGGCCCTGTCCAGCCCCACGGCGCGTGCCATCGCGGCCGCGGGGCTGGGCCTCGCCGACCCCGACCGCTGCGATGCGGTCCGCCGCTCGGCGACGCTGCGCTGCGAGCAGGGCGCCGACAAGGACGGCTTCCGCTACCCGGCGTGCAGGCCGCTCGTCGCACCCTGCGTGTTCGACCTGTCGGCCGACCCGTGCGAGCGCCGCAACCTCTACGGCACCCCATTCCTGCCGGCCTCGGTGCTGGCCGCGCTCGAGCAGCGGCTCGCCGACCTGAGGCAGACCGTGGTGCCGCCCAGGAACGTCGCCACCGACCTGCGCGCCGACCCCGAGCTGTGGAACGGCACCTGGGCCAACTGGGCGGACCTGCTGGACGAGGCTTCCCTCCGGGGCGCCGGCGAGTTGCCGCGGCCGCGCCTCCGGCCGTCGCGCTGGGGCTGAGCGGGCAGCGGACTGCCAGCGGCCGCCCAATGATAATGGAACTCTGAACAAACTCGATATCATGATTTTTGTTTTAAACCGTTTGGACCGTTTGTGTACATGATTGTACAGCGTTGTATTTGCTCACACACAAGGTGGCCCACAGGCCTCGGAATGCCTCGTGGTTTTAGTGTATTGCATGCAACCGCTCGGGCGCGCGTTGCCTTCTCGAAAGGGGCTTTATAGGCGCATGCGGTAGCGGCACTGTAGCACTACGATATTCTCCGGGGTCTGCGGGACGCCCTGTACAGTTACTACCAGGTGGCTGATTAACCACGCGCACTTCTGTAGTTATACTGTACCGCACGCACGAGTGCGGGCGGGTTGCCTCGCCCGGCCCGTAAGGCGCCGTGGACAGGAGCGATAGGCAAGCCCGCCCGCACTCGTGCATGCGGTACAGTCTAACTACAGAAGTGCGCGGGGTTAATCAGCCACCTGGTATATTTTTAAATAGTATCATGCATGCATAACCATATTCAGATTAATGTCGAATGCATCACGCGTGTTCTATCTGTCCGTGTGCTCTACACGGCTTGGCGTGCTGCTCAGGAGTACGTTCCCAGGCGGGCGGACTCCCCCAGGCAGCAGCGCCCTCCCTGCTGTAGATAGACTCGCCTCTTTACGAGCGTTGCATCAGGTTATTCCGGCCCGCTCTCGCTCCGCTTTGCTCCGCTTTGCTCCGCTATGCTCTGCTTGGACTCGACGACCGCGTCCGTTTCCCGCGCGAGGAGGAGTAGAGGGGCGCGCCTGAATACTCTTATCCCCGACGCTGTGGACACCAGTGAAATTTTGACGTAAAAGACGCTCTGCGCTATGCCTGCGCGCCAAGCAGCGCGCTGGCTGTTAAACTGTAAATTGTACTCATTCATATGTTACTTTCTTAGTTGGTAAGTGCCGCTCTAGCGGCGGTTGTTGATGTTGTAAATAAATTAAATATGCAATTGTTATGGATATGTGTACCGAGTCTGTCCAAGTCCATGAGGAGCCTCGAATGTTCTTGCGTCTCGCTTACCAAATGGACCCCCGCATTCCTCGTGCAGCAGAGACGGGCACCGCCGCAAAACCCAGGGGCTCATGGCCCATTCTCCGGCCAGGCCAAGCTTCCCCCCCCC